AGCCTAATGAATGCACTCATTAACTGTAATAATGTTAGCTATAGCTTGAAAGGGACTTCAGAGAAAAAGAAACCAGCTCAACTGATTCCAAGACCCTGCTGCATTTTCAACATAGAAAAATAAGTGGAAGAGTTTGCAAAAGGGAGTCTATTTTTGTTGTACACCTGTGTCTCTTAGTATTTTGTCTAATCTTAGAAATAGAGGTTTAGAATGTGTGCTGAATTTCCCAGGTGATTTTCACAGGAATCCTAAAGCTATGTTTGCCAGCTCACTGGTACTAACTCACAATGTTTTACTGATCATAATTTCTCCAGAGCCAAGAGCTGAAAACTTTCTTTCAGTCTAGTGAATCATTTAATGGACCAAGCCATGAGATATTTCTGCAGCTTTATATGCTCTAAAGAACTGCAGTAAAAAGACAGGGCACAAGGTAGCATGGGGAGGAGCTTCTGCAGGAACATCACCTCCGGATGGTGTCCTGGACATCCACCAGATTGCAGATGTAGCTGGCTTAGCATTAGACCTCTCCCTGCTGCCTTCTCCCACCCTGGACTGGCAGCACCCCGGAGCAGACAACTGCACCATTCTAGTTAGTTAGTTAGTTAGTTCCCAAAAAATCTTTATATCTTGATAGTATATTCCTAATAATACCTAATAGATCTTGATAGTATATACCTGATACCTTGATAGCTTATCAATGACAACCTTTTTTTTTAAAGTGTGCAGCTTTAAAGAAAAGAAATGTTAGCTATAGCTTTAAAAATATCTCCAATAGTCAAAAAAATCATATTTGCAACTCACTGTTGCTTAATTTATTGGTACAAGGGAACTAAAAGGAGTTGATTGTCAAATATTCACAAAAGAGTGTATTCACAAAATAGTGACTGAAAAGGGTTGCAGTAGTTTCATGGACTGCCAATTTGCACAGTGTACCTCTTTGTTCTGCCCCTCTTGTATTATCCAACATACACTCTTGCTAAATTTTGAAACAGATTATAGTTAATGGTCTTCATATTGAAGGTTGTATATTTTTTACCATAATTTGATTCCCAGAACAGCAAAGTTCCAACTCTGCCAAGATACTGCATGGAATGAAACAAAACCACAACAGACATTGGCATTGTTCAGGAGTACTTAAATCTGAAGTTGTCCTTGAAGGATATTGTGGTACAGAATGGAAAAATAGTCAATTATAATACTTATTTAATCTCTTTATCAGCATTGGATTTTCCAGTTTGAAACTTTTTTAGTCCAGCTGTCCCTAAAAGGTGGCAGAATTTCCCCACTTCCTTGAAAGGCTTCTCAAGAATCTGAAAACTTTCACTGAAATCAATATTATAAACCCTATAACTGAGATTTAAGAAATGGCTTAATCAAGTATAAAAGACTTGTAATATATAAAAATTAAATCTGTGTCTATTTAGTGTGTAGGCATGTCAGTTTGAGCAAATCATTTTGTAGTTGTTCAAATATGATACCTTATCGTTGACTCATCGGTTTTGGAGTTCCATTTCCCATGATAAAGGTCATTTGGGCTATGGAAGTCACAAGTCTTACATATAGGGCCAATATTATAGAATTGATGCTATGGATATTCAAAACTGAGAAAGTGGCCTTAAACTGCCAGACCTTTGTTTACTTCAGACTGTCAACCAAAATGTCTAAATTAGGGAATGTAGAATTTCTTTTCTGTTTTTAAACCTCAAAGGATTATCTTAATTATACTGACACAGTGTTATTTGGGGATTAGATGTAAAAACTTTCCTTTCACCCAATAAAAGAGAGATAAAACAGTTTCATTTTCATTAAGAGTTATTTTAACCCAGTGTACACTCCTGCCTATCCTGACTGCATCATTGGAATTAGCTATGTGTATAGCTTTAACACATCATTTAGCCTAAATAAATTTCTCTTCCTTGTTGCTTCCCGTAGCAACTACAGAGAGAGAAAAAATACAATAATGAAAAAAATAACTAAGGCAAAACACTACAAGAAGCTGGGGGAGCTGTGAAGGAGAGTTATTGTTTTAAATTTCTCTGAATTTTTTGTCCAGCCTGCTGGGTTTTATGGAATCATCATTCCCAGACATATGTCAAATCTCAACAACTACTAATGCATAGTGGATGTCAAAAAGTCAGATAGCCTACTGCCATCCCTTCACCAAGGCAGGGACATTTATATCAGATGGATGCTTGTCTGTCTTGCTCTGTGACACTCCTAAGAGTCTTCACTTCAAGCTATTCTAGTTCCTCATTCTCTTTGCTGTGAGGAAAATTTCCTGCTGTCTGAGTCATTCTCTTTTCAGTTTAAGTCCTGGATGCTTATCTCGATATGATAAACAACTTGTGATCTTTTAGCTCATGCTTTGATGTACCTGAAGACAAATAGCACGTCTTCCCTAATACTGTGTTTGGTTCTTTAGGCTATAAATCTTCAGCTAATTCAACCAAGCCTGTTTTCTAGATCATCTCACTTTTTGGTTCACCCTTCACCTCTGAAACAAACTAGATTTTTAAATAGTCATTCTCTCCTGTAGAATACTCCACTTTCACCAATTTTGGAATAGTAGTTTAACATTTGCTTTTCCACATTGCCTATCTGAGGCTTTGTTATCTCTACATTGTTGTCTGTACAATATGTACTTTGAGTAGGTTTTATAAAATATTCCTAAACACCTTTTGTTCAAGAAGCTAAGCTGAAATACTTATTTGACTGAGAAGCAGATCTGTTGAATTAAGAAGCTCTCCTGCAGAAAAGTTGAGAAGGAGGGTTATGTAATTGTCATTAAAAAGTTGTCATTTCCATATTTTTTAATAATTTAAAGGTATAAAATGGTATCTCTGTTGCAAATCTTCTTGGAGGGATAGCTAATCATAAAGTAATTCCGTAAATTTTATAGCACCCTCCTGGATTAGATCTACAAATCAACTCCTTTGAAAATTATAAAGAAATTAATAACAAGAAAGCAGTTTTTTTTCCTGGGTTTTTTTGGGGTTTATTTTGTTTTCTTTTGTTTTTTTTTTTGGGGTTTTTTTTTTTTTTTTTTTTTTTGGTTTTTTGTTTTTTTTATGAGACAACTCATAAAGCTGGGATACTGACAGCATGGCTTTAATTCTTTCAAATTCCACCCAGTTTAAGGAAAAAAATCCCACACTACAAAGCCTATTACTTCCTGCATTAAAAAACTTGTCAGGTTTCATGAGGGTGGATAAAACTGCTTTAAAAACTTGCCAAAGAACAAGATGAATCTTTTAAAGGAAAGGTTAAATCAGTCATAAATTTAAAACATCTTCTGTGGCTTTTATCACGAAACAACCCATAATGGGATTTAAGTCTGTCCAGTAAACATTCCTGGTGGAAGTGGGGGCTGTTTGTCTTATTGAGCCTCTTGAGTGTAGTTGGGAACATTAACACCTGTGTTAATCCCCTAAGCTGGAAGGTAAATTTTCCAAGTGTTATACTCAAGCTAAACAGCAATGCTTATCTTCCTCCTTTTTTGAATGCATATTTTACTCTTCTGTGCTGAGCAAATCAGTGCATTTGAAATCTGAAGCATGTTTAATGGTTCTTTCATTTTGATTCCAGACACTGGATATTTTTTTTTCCCCGTGGTGAAGCTGCTATTTACTGACATTGCAGCTGTGCTAGGAAGACATAGTCAAGAGTCCAGGCTCTGCTGAAATAGTGTCTTGTGCAGGAGTCACTCTCTGAGGATGTGTTTGCTCTGTGTGGACAGCTGAATGCACAGCTTAAGGAATGCACTGGGGACCAGGTGTCTGCAGCAGGATTCCTGCCCATTCTGCAGTACAGAAGAAAAGTTTAAGACAGGCAGTGAATGATCAAAAGAGAACAGATCCACACATATAAAGGTCACCTACATCACTTAAAGCATGACTAACTTACAGAAGGGCTAGCTTTAAACAAATCATGAAGATGTAAAATAAGACAAATTGAGCTTATTTTTCATCCTTCAATTACTCAACTTTTAGGATTTAAAGGTACTCTCTATAGTCAACATCAGTGACTTCTTAGAGGAGGGACAAATGCTAATCTGAGATTCTTCGCCAAGTCTCTGAGCTTTGAAAAACTGAAATATCATGTTCATGATAAAAGAGAAGAAATCTGAAATGCTCTAATAAGATATGTACATTTTTAGGATTGAGTGAAACTTCATAAATGGCAGTACTTCCAGAAGAATTCCATTGTGAAATGAGGAGAGGGCAATTACCCTGAATGTTTGTGATATTTTGTTTGAGTGGGGTTGTCAGTTGCTTCTGTCTCCTTGTGGTTTGCGTGTTGCAAGATGAAAGGTTAACAGAAGGGGATTAAAATTCTGTGTGCAGTACAGTATCACACAACTCCATAAAGCTCCAGCCACAAGCAACAAAGAAATAGGAGCAACACCTGGATCTGCATAATGCTCTGCCCAGCTTCATTAGCCATGTCCGCAGAGAGAATTAATTGTTTCAGATGCAATGTCATCTTGTCTCTGTGCTGGTGTTTCTGCTTAAGCAGTGCCAGCCCATTCAAGACTTGCTTCTGGCTCCTTGTGCTGTGCTTCCTCAAGAAGTAGGGACATGGTCTGCAACACAGCCCTGCCCTTTGCACAGTGAGAGGTCCTGTCCTCAAAGCCACATCCTCTCCTCCCAGTGTCAGGGAAATGCTGAACACAAGGTTTTCTCCCCTCAGTGAGGTTAATTGATGCAGAGATACACTTATATACAGCAGATTTCAGGATCTGTGACTTTTAACATTGTTTCAATTACCTTATGTGGAGGATTTGGAATAGATAATTTAAGTAGAAGGTCCCGATGTCAAGCAAATGTAAGTAAAACACTGAATTCTTCCTCTGGAAGAATTACAGGTGCTTTACAGGACTCCACTCAGAACCACAACTGCTTAGTGTGTGTGCTCCTAGGCTCTGATTTTCAATGCTAAGGAAGCTGTTTTCTTATTCCTTTGGATGGCCAATGTGGTGTCCCTCTCCTTTACCCCTACAGTGACGGCTGGGCAGACAGGTATGACGTGACAGAAGGGTACCAGAACGAAGCTGTCGGTGGGATCACAATCAAGCTGCAGTCCCCAGACGTGAAATGGTTTGATGATTACTACCTACAGCTCCGGCCAGAAACCAACCATCGGAACCCATGGTTTCAGGAATTTTGGCAGCACAGGTTCCAGTGTCGCTTGGAAGGGTTTCCCCAAGAGAACCCTAAATACAACAAGACCTGCACAAGTAAGTGAATTTATTGCTTCTGCTGAGTGAAACAATGTGAATGAAGTTCTGGGCTGATGCAGCATGGTCTGGTGAAACAGTGAGTCAGATTGGAAGGAGAAGAAGCTTTAATTTCCATGCTTGTGGTTTTCAAAGTTATAAAAAGCACAATTTTAAGTGTTCAGGTTTCTAAAGAAACAGATGGAGCTTCAGTACCTAACTGGTCTCTGTATTTGAAAAACTTGATGCTACTCCACCTCTATAGGCATGTAAACACTTTCAAAAATGCTGCAACACAAAGCACCACCTTTTCAGAGGTGCAAATGTACAGAGGTGCAAAAGGTACAAAATGTACCTTTTCAGAAAAAAAAGCTGATCATATTGCTTTGGCTCACAAAAGCAATAACAGTGCTAATATACTAAAAGTAATCTGAAGCCCTTATGGCAGTGATGAGTATTTATGAACTTCAGAAAAAAGGTGATTTGAAAGGTGTCATTAGGTTTTCTTTCAGCCATGGGTCATTTCAGCATATGCCATTTTGAGCTGATTATTTTCATTCCATTGTACTAATTTTAGCAAAAACTCCCACATTTTGTCATTTCTGCACTACAGATAGATGTGGTACATTTTTCTGGGATTTTGTAGGTTTGTTTTTGTTCTTTTTTATTTATTACTTCTGTTAATTGCTCTTTACTTCATGAGATGCCAAGCAGTACTAATGTTGTCTAGACTGTGAACTGGCATCCATGTCTTGCATTCCAAAGGGTATGGGGCCCTGTGGCACCAGTGAAATGGCAAGAGACTCAGCAGGAACCAACTCAGTGCCTCAGCAAGAAGACCCCACACTATCTGGAAAGGGTCCTTTGTTTGGGCTCAGAGTCCTTCCTTTGAGGCTAGCAGGACTGTTTCACAAGCCCCTTCTCCTTCTCTGTAACTCTCTGGGCAAATTTTTAACTATTTCCAACCCTTGAGATGTCACTAATACCATTGTATTAGTATTCTGGTATTCTGGCAGTGTTGGGGATAATGTGGTGCTGTGCTGGGCATTCGCCCAACCACAGCTCTGAACCCCAAGGGTTCTTCCCTTGTGAAAATCTTCCACACACCCATGAGACCAAGAAATATCTTAAAGGATCAGAGTCTTGGATTTACACAACACAAACTCCTACCTAAATCCCACTTAACGATCTTAAAGTCTTTCTTTTGATTTGGACAAGGTCTCAGAGGAAGTTTGTGAGTGAGATGTAAATTGAAACTAGGAATCCCAAAATCTCAGTGGACACCTTCCACACTCTACTCACTTTTCCCCATTATTTCTGTTCAGTTACCCTTCCAACAAAGTTTGAGACAGGTTTTATTTGCACTATTGACAGCTACTGCATATTGAGCAGCAAACTTCATTAATTTCCCCATGATAATATAGACCTGTTTCCTGAGATGTCAATGTAGTGTGCATAGCTGGATGCAGGGTAATAAATACCTGGTTTCCATCAGTGTGCCATGTAAAAAACATTTCAATTTGACTTTTTTTGTCTCCTTTTTTAACTTACCTTTTACCAACAATGTGAGAATCTAATTTATGTTTTATGTGAAAGATTGGGAACTGTGAAATGTAAGTGCCTAAAGAGTCTTTTGTAGAACCTAAAATAAAATTCACCACCACAGAAAAATTATCATGGGGGTGCAGGGAGATATTATTTTATACATGAATTCACCAGTCATGGATATAAGACAATCATTAAGCATGAATTGTTTGGTGTGAATAGCACTCATGGCTGGAAGCTTTCCTACAAAGAACCACAGCTCAAATAGGCTCCTAAAACCTAGGAATGTCAAAGACACAAAAAAAGGTGCAAAAATCCAAATCTTCTGATTTGTAAATCATGAATAGAAAAGGGTTTTTTCCAAATAGATAGCTCTAATTTCCTTTTCTTCAGTTTTATTTTAATAAAACATGGCATGGGCTGGACCATGATGCATATAGTAAAATAATTAAAACCAGATTATAAAAGCTTGAATTCTCTCTTGTTGCTGTAGGGCAAAAACATTAATTGCAGTTGTAGAATTTCCTGTGGATTAACCAGCAAGACAGACATAAATGTATTCACTGAGAATTGCAAGAGTGAGACATTTGATGCTGCGACTATGAGGTCAAAATTACCATGAATATTTGAAATTGGCATGGTAGTTGTTGTTTCTGTCTCATTTCCTATCACCCATACGAATTTGAAAATTATATCTTTTCAATTCCTATATTACTATTTATTTATTTTGAACAGTCAAAGTTGTGAGGCCTAAATTCCCTCAGACCAGACTTCACAATTATAAAGATACTTGCCCTCAGTGGTCATAAATGTTTCACAGACTGTCCTAAGAGTTTCTGCATGATGAGGAATTAGTTTTGCTTCTGATTTCACCAGGTAAGAAAACAGGACTATGTCCTTTATTTTATTTAACTAATTATATGGTGTTCTCCAGAAGCTGCATTAAAAAAAATATTGAAAACCCCAAACACACTAAAAAATTAAGCTACAGGTGTTTCTTATGATTACAAATAATGAGATTAAGTTCATTGAGAAATGCTGGAGAGAAATCAAAACCTATTTTCTACATCAAAAGTCAAGCAATTCTTTACTTCTTGGAATAAAGATAAAAAGATAAGCTTAGAGCTGATGTTAATAGACAAAGTCATTATTAAACGAATATGTCTATATAAAAGGCAGTAACCATTATATTAGTGGGAAACAAAATTAATTGTTCTCTGTAATCCAGTTGTGTTGTCACAAAACCATAAAGAATGGTTAACAGTATAGTCAAGGTTATTCAATAAGAAAATAAACACTGGAAAATATGGCTGAAATCTAAGTAATAACTGACTTCACCTATGCATCAGCTATGAATTTAGCTGTTAAAATCTCTTCATTTGCTTTGATTAATCCTGCCTAGTAGAATATTAGGCTACATTTAACCCTGTGACAGAAAATACATGAAACCATAAACAATTGTAACCATCTCCAGTGACTTGTGAGTATTTTTCTCACTTTTTAACATAAACTATTCATAGACATTTTCAGGGAAGGTACTGTTATTAACTAATACATGATTCAGTATGATATGTATAATCAAATTATGAAATCATCCGAACAAAGAGAATCCAAAAAACAATAAAGCTTTTTTTCCATTCATTTCTATTAAGGACTAAAAAGTTTCCATTCCTACACATAGATTTAGTTCATACTGAGATGAAAATTTCAGCATCCAGCTCATTTTTCATTTGCAGATTAGAACATACTTGCCTAATCCAAATGTGTGTCACTGCTGTTGCTGCTAAGAACATTGACTTTCTGCCCAGCTGGAGCACTACAGAAAGTGAGAAGTTCACAGACTTATCTGACTTGATTTTCAGTGTAATCAGTTCCATGACACAGGAAAGTTGTTACAAGCCACCTCTGAGGAACAAGAGTCAGAACAAAGAATTTAAAATGCATGTGTAAAAGGAGACATTTAATGGCCTCCAAACACTAGGGATTTTACAAGATTTGGGGTTGGTTTCACATCTAGCACCAGTCAGAGATTTTTTTTAATATCTAAGACTATAATTCAAAGAAGTTAATAAATAGTTGTGCTAGCTGATCTAGATGAGTAACTCACTCCACTCAGTGACCAGCTTCAGGTCTCAAAAGGCTAATCTAATCCCTTGGTATTTATTGCCTTTAGACCTTTGAAGATGAGACGTTTATGCTATTGCTTTCTTTTAGACAGAGTTCCTAGTACCTTTTCATCCTGGTGAGGGTGTTTTAAAAAATGCATCTTAACACCAAGCAGAAACAAAACCCAACATAATTATGTGGTGAAACTCTGGCTCAGTGGACAGTACTGGAAAAAGGCAAGTCCTCAAAGTCACCAGGAGCAGAAGTATATTTATTACATTTACCATTCTGTTAAATTATTTATTTTTCCTGCACTGTTAATTGATATTATTTTTCCCATGCTGTGCAAAAGCTGGAGGCATGGATGGAACAGCATTATTTATGGTGATACTCAAACACAGAGCAATACCAGAATACACATCCCAAGTATCTGTGATCTAAGTCATAGACAATAAAGAGTAAATAAATAGAGGCTGATGCTGTTGAAGTATCTTACTTTGATTATCTGCAGTATCTAACTTTGATTGACAGAGGCTACAGACTTAAGAAAAAAATAGCAGTTTCATGTAAAGGAACAGTGGGAAAAGAATCTGGAGGAAGGTGATAGGTCACTTGTGCAGGTACTTACATCAGGGTCCTGACATTAAATACTTCAGTTCAAAGCAGTGAAGTAGAAAACAAAGGGAAATCATGGGGGCTGGGTCATCACAGACAAAGGTCAGCCACAAACAAGACGTAGAGGGCACTGAAAGTGAGGAAGGCAGCTTATGTCTGCCATGGCTGGGAGCAAGGACCCAGAGACAGGGCTTAAAGAGAAGAAGAACACACAGTGATGTACAGGTGTCCTGGTTACAGCTCCCAGGAAAAGGAGATTGGCAGTGATTTGCAGAGCTTTCTGAGTGCATCATAGAAGGGTGCAAAAATCCCAAAATCCATTCATGAATTAACCATGTGTCTTCTCTGAGATAAAAGTGCTTTTTCTGAGGGTGTAAAATTTCTCATAAAAGAAGGATGACCAATGTATCTCCAAGCAATTTAGAAGAGGATTAAGAATAAATGAGTTTATTTGCAGAAAGGGAGATTAGGGAAATTTGGGATAAATACGAGAAAAGCTTTTCTGCTAAAGGTACAAATGTGCACATAAAATGAAAGTGCAAAAAATACCTACCTGTTTGCTGAATCTCATCCAGTTCCAGCTATTTTTAATGAGTACAAAGGGACACACAGAAAGTCCATGGTTTCAGATGAACAGAAATTTAGTTTAACAAATGTCCCTTTTGGGTTTCCAGATAGAATGAAGGAATAAAACATGACTGTCTAGTCTTTTGCACTGCAACATGCAAATCTGTTGATTAAATGTAGGCTCTAAT